CTTTACAAAGCCATTTTTCCTGTTTTTCCAAGATTATCTTGATTACACCATAGCCCTGCCCTGTAGCAGGCCGCTACCCCTTACTTGGTCCAGCATGTACTGTCTCACATTGATGTTTATCTTTTACACATAAGTCTGTCTCCGTAATCAGACATGGTTAGTTGAAGGTAGGAACTGTAGTTCACTTTATTTTTTTATATCCTCAAACTAGAGTTCATAAGAAGTGACTTATAAATGTTTGTTAATGAGGATTACAACATGCTTTTCTCAGGATTGGGGATGGTTTGATCATGATGATGGTGCAAATGTGACTTTAGCTACTTGTTTCCTTCTTAAGGAAACCACAGAGGAAGCATTAAATACTAAGGAACTTGGAGGTCTCCCAGAAGAACTTGCAAAAACTTTATATATAAAACTTTTGAAAACAATGCAAATCTTTCCATTCCTAGAAACATCTCTCATTACATCCCTTTCTGAAGATTTCTGCTTCATTGAATAACTCTGGAAAGGGTCACTTAGCATGTCAAGGTAAGTGTTTTGAGAGTTTTGCCTAGTAGATTGCTCAATTTTGAGCTAAACCTGAAAATTTAGCTTAAAATAATAAAATACTTGATGACTTCTGGACCAGAAAAATATTTTAACATCATTTTTAAAAGTAATTAAGCCGGGCTCGGTGGCTCAGCCTGTAATCCCGCGCCTTTGGGAGGCTGAGGTGAGTGAATTGCCTGAGCCCGCAGTTCGAGACCCGCCTGGGCAGCGAGACCTCATCTCTACAATAAATCAAAAAATCAGCTGGGCGTGGTAGCGCATGCCTGTAACTCCGGCTACTTAGAAGACTGAGGCGGAAGGAGCCGGAGCCCAGCAGGTCGAGGCTGCGGTGGCCGGGAGCGGCCACTGCACTCCAGTCTGGGTGACAGAGTGAGACTCCAACTCAAAAAAAAAAGTAATTAATGCACATTAACAGAGTATTAAAGGGTTTACAACAAATGTACCTCTCCCTCTTTCTTGTAACCCACCATCCTCAAGTCCTTCCCTGACCCTGCCCTTCACTAGGGCTTATCAACTCAAATACTTTTCCTGAGTCATGCATGTAACATGGACGAATAATGCAAGTGTGTTTGTCCTAGAATGCCATATGAAATATGTATTCTTTCAACATCACATAACTTATTTGCACAGTTGTGTTCTTCTACTTTTAAAAATGCTCTTTCTCATTGTTTTGGAAACACCCAAGCTTCTCAGTCTTTCATTTTTTCACTTTTGCTGTAAACAGTGGTTCCCTTTTCTCTTGATTTTACCAAGAGGAGAAAAAGCACAAGCTTCATGATAAATAGCAATCAATGTGTTCAGTTTCAGGAAGACTTTAGAAAGGAGTGTGGGCCACTAGAGAAGACTGGAATGTTTGAAGGATAGAGACACTGTTACGGCCCAATCCAATAAATTGGCAGCTACACTCATGGCCAATTAAGATATGAGAGGCAGAGACTGGGAGAAAAGGGAGTGTTTAATTTCTATAACCAGGTTATAGGGAGATGAATCGGCATCATTGCCAAAAAACCTGCTCAAGGCAACACAAATTCATTCCAGTATGTATACCCAAAATTCATAGCCCATTACCCTCCCCAAGTTTGAAAAGCACACGTGCAATTTTAGCATGACTTGAGATATACATTAACAATTTTTGAAACATGATCACTGACATGACACAAAGTCTCCTGGTCATGATGACATTTTAGATAACATTTTGGAATTTATAACATGTCCTTTTACAATTTTTTTTAGAGGAAGGGGCAGACAATTGCAATATTTGAAGGAAGGGAAAATCATAACACTTAAGATGATAATTTTAAATTGCTTTAAAACATAATTTTTTATTCCCAGAGTTCTGGTTTATAACAGTTTGATGTCCTTGTATTCACAGATGGAGGGGAGGTGGGCAATGTTCACTTCAAGCTTTTAGACACATTTCTGTTGGCCTTGGTTCACTCTCCTCATCATTAGGTGGCCAGGCTTGCCCAGCTGCTGCTTCTTCAGCACCAAAAATAGCTTACTAGATAAGATTGGCCAGTCAGGCAAGGCCGTGCTAGGAAAAACGTACACTTCTGAATACAAGCGACTTTTACGTTTAACCCAACTCAGCTGCAAAAGAATACAAATTTTTAAGTTTTTTTCCTAAACGACTATTCTAATATAACCAAAATGGCCTCTTTTCAGCCTGTAACACCACTACTCGACTCCTGGTTGCAAGAAATGTTTTGCATGTGTGACTTAAGGCTTGATGTTGTTTGGCATTCTGATATTATAATGTGATTGTTTTAATGTACAAGTTGTCGGTTTTTAAATTTTGACAACAAATCCAATATTATTTTTAAAACAATGGATAGCCCAACATTTTTACAAGCCAAACAAAACAGGTCTGTGAGCTGAATTTGGACCAACGATGACAGTTTTGTCACCAGGATAGCCCAGCTGGCCATTTCTTTATTTTGTAGCCATGCTTGCAGAGTTTCCCAACTCTTGCTTCCTGGGAAAAAATTTCAACAAGTTTTCCTTTAGTCAATCAACAGGCACACACATTTGCTTAAGGAAGCCAGATTGCCCCACCTGAATGCCACAAATGGCCACCTGACCACCCCCCCAGAAGTCCATACCTGCTGCAAGACTGGTGCAGACTAGAGCAGGTGACCCCCAATTACCTTTAATCATTAGCATATCACTATAATGCTAAAAATCCCTCCCCTATAGGAAAACCAACACCATTTTGTGTATGTGTGACTAACGAAGAACCAGGTTTATAAACTGAGCCTTTGTGTTGGGAACTCCACCCCGTTCAAGCTTGCATACCTTCCCCGCCCCACCCCCAACTCCTTAAAACTCTCATACCTGCCACTGCTCTGCAAGAAGGTGCCTTTAGAGCATGAGCTCTCCTTCTCCGTTCTTTGACCATTGAATAAAATTTGATTGCCTTTCCAACTCGATATTATTTCTTTTCTTTTTTTTTTTTTTGAGTTGGAGTCTCACTCTCGCCCAGACTGGAGTGCAGTGGCTGCTCCCGGCCACCGCAGCCTCGACCTGCTGGGCTCCGGCGATCCTTCTGCCTCAGCCTTCCAAGTAGCCGGAATTACAGGCATGCACTACCACACCCAGCTGATTTTTTGATTTTTTGTAGAGATGAGGTCTCGCTGCCCAGGTGGGTCTCAAACCCGCGGGCTCAGGCAATCCACTCACCTCAGCCTCCCAAAGGCGTGGGATTACAGGCTGAGCCACCGAGCCCGGTTTATTATTTCTTTACAGCTGATACAATGTAGGAAAAAAACTGTTTACCTGACAGTTTGATTATAGGATAGTCTACCTTTTTCCCCGTGTGATACTGTGTATATATTGGAGATTGTACCTTATCAGGACATACAGATCTAAATCATAGGCTTTCATGGCTGGCATGAATGTAATTTATTTAACAAGTTTCTATTTATGGACATTTATTTTGATTCCAATCTTGCATTATTTCATATCAGTGCAGAAATAAGCATCATCATGCATACATCTTTGCACATGTGGGAATGGTTCTGTAGGATAAATGCTTAGAAATTGAATTGCAAAACAAGGGCTTTGTAAAATGTAAAGATAATCCATATATAAAAGTGGCTGTTTGGTCTCTCTCTCTCTCTCTCTCTCTCTTTCTCACTCTAGCTCTCGCTCGCACTCTCTCTCTCTCTCTCTCTAAAACAACTAGTAAGTTACAGGAACAAAGACATTTTTGTACAACCCTACAATCCTATACAGATCTACAGTTTGTACAGGTCAGTATAGTAAGTTCCTATCTGGAGCTGTCATACAGTCACAATAAATACAATTTTAAAAATTCCCAGAGTCTTTCATTTGAGAAAGTTTACTATCAATGGCTGGGTTTATGCTTGGTATTGCGAGTGTAGGGATCTGGACTTATGATTCTGACAATCAAGGAAAAAAATATATATTTTTTATGTTTGTGTGTTTGCATGTATCTGTGTGTGGTGGGTTGCAATTGGACTCTTTGATTTTAGTCCCTAAAAAGTGACTTCATAATCTTTCATAGGCCACCTCCCTTTTATGTGCCCTAGTTTCTTGATAAAATATAAAATGACCAAGTTGGAAGGGGGAAAAGATAATTAAAGCCATAGAACAGATTTAGATTACCTAGAGAGAAAATTTAAGTAGAGAAGGGAAGGCACCTAGGATGTCTGAGATCTGAGACTCTTCAACATTGAGGAGTTTGGAAGAGGGGACCAGGGCATCAGCAGCTCTAAAGAAAAAGGAGAATGTGATGTCCTGAAAGCCAAGAGAGGGACGTAGTGTAAGGACAGCGAGCGCTCAGCACTCAGCATTCTGACCTGAATGCTGCGTATAGGACCAGAGACTACCGGCAATGTGGAACTGCTGGAGACCTTCACAAAGACCATGCCAACAAATCGGTAAGCTTAAAAGCCAAACGAAAGCCGGTTAAAGTGTGAATAAACAAAATGATTTTTGTCAACACAGCTTTATTCCAAAACCCACAGCTGGCCTAACTGATCGCTCGGAGCCCCTCTCAGCTCTGATTCTAAGACACAACCTACCCATGCCTCTTCCTCTTGCCTCACAAGATTGCTCTAAGGATATGAAAATGTTTTTAAGCAAAGATGCCCGACAAAGGAGTGGAACAAATGGGCAACCACTCGTGTTTATTGCTCTGTTCTATTGCAGTATTCGTTCTGTACTCTTTAGGCTCCTCCATGCTCCTTCAATATCTGAACCTTACTAAATTAGACGCCACCGGTGAGCGTGTACCAAAATGGACGTGCGCACTTCACTTCCCCTCACCCGCCTCTGCAACCTGCCCCCTCCGCTCTCCAAGTCTTTAACCCGGGAGGCTCAGAATTCCAACCCGGAAACCACGAGGGCGGGCCTGGTGAGAGGAGGTGGAGTGCGCATGTCCCTTCCCAAGGCTCTGTGCGCCTGCACGAGTCCTCCGAGGACTGTTTGTGCTGCCTGCCTAGGAAGGTGGGGTGGTTATTTATTTGACGGACCGAGTACGGGTGCCTGGCAGGCTCTTGCGGAAGTCCATGCGCCATTGGGAGGGCCTCAGCGGCTGCTCTGTGCCCTTGTTGCTGAGGGCTTCTTCCTGGGTCATTCCTAGAGCAGGAGCCGGACTTGGGCTGACACTGGGGCACCCTCGTAGCGGTCTCGGCCCCTGTGTGACCTCCCCACCGGCGGGATGTGGCGACTACGTCGGGCCGCCGTGGCCTGGTAAGTGCGGGCTCAGACCTAGCCCAGTTATTTCTGGGGCCTCTTGAAAGCGGAGTTATCCCATCACTATCTCCAGGATGTGCATATGACTCTCAGGCCAGGCCGAGGACGGTGGGAGAATTCCCGGATATTTTTGAAGACCCAGAGTGGCTAGACTGACCTGCGGTGCCGACTTCAGTACTGGCCCTTGTCTCTGCCCCTCTCCAACTCGAATATTCTGGACGCCTCTCAGTCTTGGCCCGTCTCTAGTGTCCTTTTGTTCCTGCCCTCGTGTCCTCAGTATTATATGTCTCTCTTTGCTGTTTTTTTTTGGTCATCTCTTTGCCCTGTTTGCTTCTACCCACGAATCACTCTTTCCTCATTTCTCTTAATTCTCACTGTCTTCTTTTTCTTTCATCTCCACGCCATCTGTGTATTGCACCTGCAGGTACTTCTTTGCTCTTCTCCTGGGTGAAGGGGGCCTCTGCCTCTTTCCCTAGGCCGCTGATTGGAGTCAGAACTAGAGCAGTGACGCACAAGGTGTCAGAGATGGTGATTAGAGATGACCTCTTCATAGCAGCTTTTTTTGAGACTTGCTTTTTGATGCAAAGCGGTGAATTTGGCACCACCTTTTTAATCACACTGTCATTGTTTTCCTGGGTGGTTTAATTCTAAATGGAAAATCTTAGATATCTTCTCATTTGTCAGGGTTACTATATGCATTTTGATGAGAATAATTTGATTTTACACAAAATTTTGTTGTTATATCCTTAGATACCTTCAAGTTTAGCTCATTGTTGCGGGCATTTGGTAAGAGTAATGTGCACTAAGCAAGATTGGGAAAACCTGGTTTTCCTAAATTAACTCAACCTCTACACACCTGTCTTGAATTTTTTCAAAACTTTTCATGTGTTGTATATAATTTATACTGTTTATAAGGAATGGAATCCATTTATTTTATGGAGGTTTACCGAAGTCCAAATGTAATACTTGATGACGTACAATAGTTACAGCGTTAGTCAATTAGAGTACTTGCACAGTTATTTTTAATCTCACGGAATTTTAATCTTTGAGTAAATTCACAGCCTTTAGTATTGAAGTAAGTTACTTACAACCTTTGTATTTCTACTCCTTAATACTTAATGGGAAACATATTTGATTTTCTTTAAATAAAAAGAGAAAAGACTGCAGAAAATAGCATTTGCTGTTGGAAAAATTAAAATGTATAGGAATAACTTTAAAAATTGAGTTTCAAAACAAACTGATTTATAACTGTTATTATTTCTTTATTCAATTGGATGTCGCTGAGTTAAGGTATTGCTAAAGTTACACGGACACTGTTGAGTCATCATTTGAAAATGTCTCATGCTGATAGCTCATTTTAATTACCTGAAGAAGTAGGGATGTGGAAAGCTTGAAGCCCCAAGCCCTGGAATTTGTCTTTTGCTATAGTTCCTTTGTATGTTGTGGAGGAATATAGTTAAATTTCTACTCTTCAACAGATGGTAACGTAAGCATTTTTTGACCTAGATATATAAATACATGTTCATGAACATATGAGAAGACCAGTGACCAACATTTATTTGGATGCAATCGATATTTGTGTTAAATTATTGGGGAAAAAATTAGGAAATGGTGTATTGGTTAAATGAGTTGGCAGATGAGCAAAAGAGTAGATGATTTCTGGGGGAAAACCTATTTTGCATCACATTATATATGTATTTTTGAGTCAGAATCTCACTCTGTCACCCAGGCATGATCACACTCATAGCAGCCTCAACTCCCTGGGCTCAGGGGATCCTTCCACCCCATCCTCCTGAGTAGCTGGGACTACAGGCACACATCACCACACCTGGCTAATGTTTTTTTTTTGTTTTTTTTTTGGTAGAGATGGGGTCTCACTATGTTGCTAAGCTGTTCTTGAATTCCTGGGCTCAAGCGATCCTTCTTATCCTCCCAAAGTGCTGAGATTACAGGCAAGAGCCACTGCACCTGGTCAGATTTTTAGTTTTGACTGAATATAGAATTCTAGCTGTAAAAGCATTGCTATATTTTATTTTAGCATCCTTTGTTGCTAATGAGAATTCTCATGACAACCTGATTTTTGTTTCATGTTTGTGGGTATTTTGTTTTCCCTTTATGGAAGCTTTTATGATCTTGACTTTTTCCTAAGTTTCTCCATGGTTTGTCCTGGTGTGGATTTTGTTTTGTTTTGCCACTCACTTGACTTAGCACTCGATGGGCCTTTCCCCCACCTTTCTTCATTTCTGGGAAAATTTTCCTATGTCTTTATTCTTTTCCTTTTTTCCTGGGTTTTTTTTCTTCTTCTTCTTTCTAGACGCTTGTTAGGTTAATGTTGACCCTCTTAGAATGAATGATCCTTTATGTTCAAGATTTCTAAAATATGATCTGTACCCTTTATCTTTTAAAAAAAGCATGCATGTACCCTAATATGTATATGTGCACACTTGTTTTTAAATTAAATGTCCCTGTACTAATTAATTGTTATAAGTGAATCCTAACATCTTAAAGGATAAGATACAAAAAATGCTGCATCTGGCAGCTTTGAAACTTTGTTCCTGAATCCCAGTGGAGAATTTTGTGCCTCCCATGGAATGCTTCCACCCCCATCTTCCCACCCCCTTTGGATACCATGTCTCTCCATCACTTTTCTCTTTGTGTTCTTCATTCTGGGGGATTTCCTTAATTCATTTTCTGGTCTTGCTATTTTTTTTTTATATTGTCTATCGCAACTTTATTTTTTGCAGGGGCCACCCAGCACTGCACATTGCAACTTTAAATTCCATGAACTTTTAAAAAATACTTATTAAACTCTTAAAGACATGTTTAATTCCATAAATTTTCTATTGTTCTTAGATTGCTATTTTTGAGTACCAACATTTAAGGTCTGTAATATTTTTAGGAATCCTCCTTAGACTACTGATTAGGGTTTCATATCTCTGCTTTTTCCAGGACTAATAATATTGTTTATCTTTGTCTTCATCTTAAGAGTTGCTGGTTTTTTTACAAGAGCCTGGTTATCTAATCATATTTAAACATGAAAGACTTAATGATTGTTGCAGATTCCTTTTGTGGGTTATCCCTGAATGAGAGGGCTGATTTAGCAAACTGTTTTAGGTGTCGGTGTATCAATTAGCAAGCATTATGGTGGGGCTTTTAGGGAGTGGGCAGATGATCTGAGCTTGTTACAAATGCCAATATTGGTGAAGGGGGTGCTCACTATGGGAAGTCTTCTTTCCCATTCAGACTTAGGAGGCTCCCTGGCAGTTTGCTAGCCTGGGGAGATTGCTGTTGTTAAATTCAGCTGTTTGATGGGATGGTGGATGACTGAAGCAGCCTTTTCTTATAGGGTGCTTTAATAAATCTCCATTTCTTCTCATCTTTTCACTCTCTTATCTATATCTTAGAAGGATCTTTACGTGCAAAATAGTCCTCTGAAGCCGTAGAAATAATTATTGAGGATGCCTTTCCAAGAAGTACTAAGATTAGCTTTGAGTCAGGTGTCTCCTCCAGGGGACTAACTGCAGAACATTTTACATGGTAGTTGCTGACCTGAAATACTAGGTACCATACTCTTTATTCTTGTTCCTGCTCCTCACTCATGATTATTGCTGCCATCGTTGTGGCAAAGGAATTTTAGGTATTTGGATGTAAAAGAGGGTGGAAATAATGAAAAGCAGAAGCATTTTAAGAAACTCAGTTCTGGAGTTTATCTAGTTTGATATATATATTTGGATTAACTCTTTCTAAAAAATGCAAATAACTTTTTGAGGGCTAAAGAGCTTTTGATTCATTCATACATTAGTGGAGGTTAGTGAAAATTAATATTGAAATGACATTTCTTGAGCATGTACTGTACTCTGCTGGCCATAGCTAGGTTGTTTCACCTGTTTTTTTGCAGTTTAATTCTCCCAATAACATATGTTCATTCAACAGATTTATTATTTATTTATGCATTTATTTTTTGAGTCAGAGTCTCAGTCTGTCATCCAGGCTGGAGTGCAGTGGCACAATCATGGCTCATCGCAGCCTCAAACTCCTGGGTTCAAGCAATCCTCCCATCTCAGCCTCCCAAAGTTCTGCGATTATAGGCATGAGCCACCGTCTCAACACATTTATTGAGTGTCTGTCATTTGTGAGACATTGGGTTAGACCTCGGAAATACAATGATAAGCAAAACTGATAGGACCTTGGCCTTTATGAGGACTGCAGTATACTGATAGAGACTACATTATTATTTAATACAAATTTTATAAGCACTGTGAAGACAAAGTACAAAGAGCCAAGAATTATATTGGGGGACTTGCATTATAATAAAGGCTCAAGTAGAGGAAGGAATGTTTAGGTGCAACTGAGCAATAGCAAGAGTTATATATTCAGTTGAGTCTGTCCAAGAATAGCAAGTATCATGGCCCTGAGGTAGCAGAGTCCAGGAACTGGATAAAAACTAGTACAGATGGAGTTCTGAGACAAGTGAGAGAGAGTTAGGGACCAGACTGTGCAGGAGGCTATCGACCAGGAATTTGGGTTTTGTTCTAAATGTTGGGGGAGCTGTTTAAGAGATTGACGCCAGTGAGTGACCGTGATCAGATTTGCATTCAGAATAGTGTTCTGAGGTCAGGTGTGGTGGCTTACACCTGTAATCCCAGCACTTTGGGAAGCTGAGGCCAGAGGATTTCTTTGAGCCCAGGAATTCAAAACCAACCTGGGCTATATAGTGAGGCCCTCATCACTACAAAAATCTGAATAAATTAGCTGAGCGTGGTGGCACACACCTGGAGTCCTAGCCTCTCGGGCCTGTAGTTCAGCTACTCTGGAGGCTGAGGCAGAAGGATCACCTAGGAGTTTGAGGCTGTGGTGAGCCATGGTCATGCCACTGCATTCCAGGCTGGGTGACAGAGTGAGACTCTGTATTCTTATGATGGATGAAGATGAGGAAGGTATCAAGAATGATCCCCGTGTCTGTGGCTTAGGTAACTGGATAGTTGCTTATGCCATTTCCTGAGATAGGGAATGCTGCAAGAGGGTCAGGGTTTTGGAGGGAGGGAGAGGAGAGATCATGCTTATGAACAGCTTAAATATGAGTTACTGTTTTGATATCTAAATGGTGATGTTGAATAGGCGTTAGACACAAGTGTCTGGAACTTAACTGTTTACATTATACATAAATTTGAGAAACATGGGTATGTAGATAGTAATGAAAGAAATGGGTGTAGCTAAGATTGTGTAGGGAGAGTGAGTAGGTTAGGTCTAAGTCTTGATGTGCTCCCAACATTTAAAATGTAGTTGAGGAGAGGGAGACTGAAAAGGAGTGGCACTGAGGTATAGATGAAACTAGAGACTGTCAAGGGAAGAGGAAGTTCTGACATCGAGGAAGTGTCAATGTTGTTAGATATTGCTGAGAGGACAGGTAAAACCAAAATTGAAAAAAAACGCCTATTGGAAGCTTTTGATGTTCTCAGTAAGAGCTGTTTCATTGAAGTGATAGAAAAGGAAGTCAGGTTGGTTTGGCTTTTAATAAAGTAGCTAGAGCAGGAAAATTGGGTATTTTTCTCTCTTTTAAGATGAGAGAGCTTTTGCCTTAACATTCCTGAAAGGACAGGAAGAAAGAAAATTCCAAACAGGGCTTGACTTTTAGTGGGAGGAGGAGCACTTACTGTAACCTTGCACAGGGGAGAAGAGAATGGGTGGAGATGCAGAGGGTGAACAGTTTTCATAGGAGGACGTTGAACTGTGCCCTTCTGGTAGCTTTCATTCTCTGTGAAATAGAGGGCAGGGTCTTCTGCTGAGAGTTGTGGAAGGTTAGAAGAGATGAGGGGAGTTAGAAGAGAGTAGAGAACATCAGAAATAGTCCTTGCAGGGAGCAGAAGAATGAACTGGTAAGAGAGATGACTTTGGATTGTTAGGTAATTTTGAGGACCCTGTCCAGTTGGGTGTGATTTTCTCCAGTAATGAGTTCTTCATTCCCCTGGGTGCAGGCAGAGAGAAAAGCAACAATTGGGTTCATCCAGAGTCTGTATTTTGCCAGATAAGTCAAACAAAAACTCACAGATCAAGGGACTCTAGAGTATTTGCAAAAGAGTTACTGCAGTGATGAACCAGATAATCTAAGGTGAATAAGTAAGTGACTAGATAAGGAGAAGACTAATCAGTTAGGAGAAGACAGAAGTATCAGAGAATGAGAAACTTATATTTGTGATTATTGGCAGTGACTCTCCAATACAGCTATGATGCTATTTTAAGATTTAAAAATTGAGGCTTTGGGAAATTCATAATTTACCCTTGACTGCACAGCTAGTAAAGCAGTGAAACTGATTGGAACCAAAGTTCATCCAACTCAAAAGTCTAAGTGGATGTAGGGTTTTAGTTGAAAGAAGTTTGAGCTAAATGTTGTGGCACCATTAGCAATTTTCCTAGCTGATTTGTCTCTCTAGTTTTTTACCTCTGTAAGTGATAACATTGGTCACACCAGGTAAAAGTTCGTACTGGTTATTAGTGACTCTCTTTACTTCACCCTGTGACTTTCCCCCATTCTGGTAACCACCTCTCCTTTTCCTTTCTCACTGCTGCCACCTCACTTTAGGCTTTTCTCTCTTATACCTGGGCAACTGAAGTAAGATTATCTTCTGCTCCCCTTCTGCTGTTTTTTAACCCAACATTGTCTTTAATTGTCTTCTTTGACTACTCTCTAACTAATCTTACTCTCCTCAGAAACTCTCAGGGGCTCCCTGTTGCCTACAGAAAAAAAGTTCAGACTCAGCCTGACATTCAGTGGCTCTGTCATTTGTCTTAGACACCTCTCCAGTTTACCTCCTGCTATGAACCTTCTGCACCAGCTCTGTGGGTCTCTTGCCCTTTTATTGGCTTATCTCTGTCCCTGTCTCCCTTTCTGGGATTTATTTTCCATTTTCCACTTAACTTTTAAGTTTTACTTTTTCTGGTAAGTTTTCACTGGTCACCTCAACTCTTAAGGATCAAACACTTTCCTCTGAACTCTTGTGCCACTTAACTGTCTCTACTGTTTGACATGGAAGCATTTGTTGTGTTACTGATTTTCACATGGGTATAATTGCTGGGGTGGAGACAGTTTTGAAGCTAAGATGAGGGATTTGCTTTTTATATATGCTGAGTTTGAGGTCAGGAGAATTTAATCTCTTGGTTAATAAAAAGGTATTCTGTGTCCCAGTCTTTCTTTTATTCCACAGCGTTGCTTAACGACTGACACTTTTATAAGATGGTAAAAATTATGATTAATCTTGGAGGCAGAGGTTTTAAAAAAAAGTACAGAATGTTTACCGACCTTTAAAGAGATAATAAATGTTTTTGTAACCAAGAGTGATATTTACATGTAGAATTACAAATGCGTAGTATGCCTGATTCCACAATTTGTATTTTCTCCCACTGTTAAATCCTGTTTCCCTCAGGTTTCCTGAGTTGGAGAATTTCTATAGTCTTGAATCACAGCAAGGCCTGGTGTCATCCTGAGGGTTTCAGAGGAGGTGACAGGTGCTCCAAAAGGCCACTTTAGCCTCCTATTTGGAACCACACATATTTATGCATCTGCTGCTTCCCACACTCTTGCCACTACAGTCTCTTGTGAAAAACATTTAGGCTTTACTCCCAAGCAGACCCTTGTTTCAACCCTTCTTCCACTATTTGCTGGTCATTCTACCTTAGGCCATAGTTTTTTGTTATTTAAAAAAAAAAAAAACAAGCCGGGCTCAGTGGCTTAGCCTGTAATCCCACACCTTGGGAGGGTGAGGTGAATGGATTGCCTGAGCCCGCGGATTCGAGACCCACCTGGGCAACTTGGTGAGACCTCATCTCTACAATATCAAAAAAGTAGCTGGGTGTGGTAGCGCGCGCCTGTAGTTCCAGCTACTTGGAAGGCTGAGGCGGAAGAATTGCTGGAGCCCAGCAGGTCGAGACTGCGGTGTCTGGGAGCGGCCACTGCCCTTCAGTCTGGGCAACAGAGTGAGACTCCAACTCAAAAAAAAAAAACAATTGTAGACTAAGGATACTCACTTTACTGGGTCTTTCTGAGAGTCAACAGCGGCATTTGTGAAAACATTCAGCATGATATCTGGTATTTACTAGGAATCAGTGCCCCTTTGCCACTACCATCCTTCTTCACAGCATTGTTTTTGGTATTCCTTGATTCCTGTTTTCTAAGAAGTTTCCAGTGCCATGTAATTCAATGAACTGATATTTTAAAACTACTTAGAATCAGGTGTGACCCACAGTAAGCAACTCTGAATGTGTGCTGTACAAGATCAGGCATGTGGTAGCTTTTGGTAACCTTTCATTCTCTGCAGATAGGAGAAGACTGTAAAGCTTGCACAGTTAACATGTAAATTTAGATTTTCTTCCCTTTTGAGCCTTTTTGCTGCTTTCATTTTTATGAGGAGTCAGGTAACTAAGGTGAGATTCATTAATTTCCTTAATGTCCATCCCTGGGGTATCTCAGGGTTGAGAGACATAGATGAGGGGGCAAAGAATGGATGCTCTAAGCTGTTGGAATTTTTGTGCTTGAAAGCAAAAGTTTGCATGTATTTTTGTTTACAGTGAATAACAGTTAGTAAAATAAGTCCCTAGCTTTTTCTCTCCAATTTCAATTCCTTGGTTCAAGATCATGTCCTACATTTAGAGTGTAGACTCTGGAGTCCCACAACCTAGGATTGAATCCCACTTTTTTTTTGTCTTGAGTTGGAGTCTCACTGTGTTACCCAGACTGGAGTGCAGTGGCACAATCACAGCTCACCATGTCCTCCACTTTCTGGGCGGGAGGATCTCAGCCTCCTGGGTAGCTAGGATACTACAGGTGCACTGTATCACACCTGGTTAATTTTTTTTTTTTTTTTTTTTTGTAGAGATGAGATCTAGCTATGTTTCCTAAGCTAATCTTGAACTAGGCTCGAGTGAGCCTCCTGCCTCGGCCTCCCAAAATGCTGAGATTACAGGCATGAGCCACCATGCTCGGCCTTACTTTTATTCTTTATATCAGTGTGACTGTGGGCAAATTATTTATGTATTTGTGCCACATTTTCCTTGCTTGTAAAATGGGGCTAGAGTAGTAACTTCTTCATAGGATTATTAGCAGGGTTAAATGAGATAGCACATGCTGCAACAGTGCCTGGCACATAGTAAATGATTAGTAAATGTGAACTAATGTATCATGTATTATGTTTGGTCACATGTGGTGTTGTTCCTTTAGTGTGTTGCTCCTTTTATATCATTTCCTTTGTGTTATTACCCTGTCTGATCTTTTTCCATGCCAATTTTTCTTTCAGTGAGGTCTGCCAATCCTTAGTGAAGCATAGCTCTGGAATGAAGGGAATCTTACCACTACAAAAATTGCATCTGGTTTCACGAAATAGTTATCATTCACATCATCCTACCTTGAAGCTTCAAAGACCCCAATTAAGGACATCATTTCAGCAGTTCTCTTCTCTAACTAAGCTTCCTTTACGTAAACTGAAACTTTTTCCAATTAAATATGGCTACCAGCCCCACAGAAATTTTTGGCCAGCAAGATTAGCTGCAAGACTCTTAAAACTTCGGTATCTTATACTAGGATCTGCTGTTGGGGGTGGCTATACAGCCAAAAAGGTGAGTTTAATTTTCCTACTAGTTTTCCAGTTATTCTGGCAAGATTATTTTAATTTTTTTATAGCTTAAGTCATTTTTCTTTAATGCAGTAGAATATAATTAGGTGTTTACACATTTTACTGTGTGTCTCTACCATGTGCTAGATTTTTTTAAATGATCCTAATAGGAAGATGACTTCTGAATCTTCGTTATAATTGTAGATTAAAATGACATAGTGGAAGGAACACTAGGCTGGTAATGAGAACACCTTGATTTGATTTTTAGCTTTGCCATTTAATAACACAGATGGGAAAGCTAGGTGGCATTCTCATACAAGCACTTCTTGGCATCTCTGGGACAAGAGGCAAGGTATTCTGTGTCCCAGTCTTTCTTTTATTCCACAGCATTGCTTAAAGCCAAATCATGAAACCTGTTTGAAATAGGAGTATATTCTGCCTTTTTATATTTTCCATATTTAGTAGAGGAATGTTTACATGTTTTATATGCATGCCTGCTAATTTGTTTTTAGAAGAGCTGAGGCCATTTAAAATTTTTTCTTGAAAGTTTTGAACATAATGCATTAACTATTAATGTGTTTTAATTAAATAAGTGTTTCTTTACTTTTTTTATGACATTAAGAGCATCCGATTGACATACTTTTTTTATCTTTTAGACTTTTGATCAGTGGAAGGATATGATACCTGACCTTAGTGACTATAAATGGATTGTGCCTGATATTGTGTGGGAAATTGATGAGTATATCGACCTTGGTTTGTATAATCAACATTAAAATACTTTTTAGGGTCATTTTTTTGCGAAAGTGAAATAGTTGTATTGAGACAGTTTCTTAACTTATATATCTAATATGTAGCTGTTTTATTTTAATGATAAAAATAATATGATATCAATGAAAAAAATTGTACAAAAAATTATCCAGTAGTCCATCACATTAACACAGCTGCCACTATCCTTAGGGAGTAATTTCTTTAATTGTCCTTATTATATGTATATGGTTATAGTTTAGTTTCCTTTTTAAAAACTGTATAGTTTTAGTGAACATACACTTTGGTATCTTTGCCACCTAACACATTTTTTCAGCATTTTTGTGCTGCCAAGTAGCCCTTCTAAATATCATTTTCAGTGTTACATAATGTTGTCCAGAATATATGTACCATATAGTGATCTACCTATCTACCTTCTTTTGATTGGATACCTTGGTTTCCTCTACTTTTTGTAGCCAAGTTCCTAAAGACTGTTAGTATTCCAAGTGATTTCTCCCCTTAGCCACTGTCCCCCTTTTCTTAAATTGTGTGTGTATATGTGTATATCTTTATATACCTATATATGTATTATATGCCTATATTATATACATATATATGTGTGTGTGTGTATATATATATATATATATATATATATTTCCAGCTAACTTTTTTATTTTATTTATTTTCTTGTAGAGATGAGGTCTCGCTGTGTTGCCCAGGCTAGTCTTGAACTCTTGGACTCACGTAGCCCTACTGCCTCAGCCTCCCAAAGTGTTGAGGTTACAGGCATGAGCCACCGCACCCAGCCAGAAAATAAAATGTATTTGATAGTTATGATTGCCAGTAATTGCTGGTGGTCTTCTTAAAAAAAAATTTTTTTTTGATGAAACTATTTTTTTCATTTTTTTAAAAACATTGTCTAATTTATAATCTTTGGTATATATGGAGGTGGAGTTCATCTCTACATTTACTTATTCACAGCACTTCTTTCTTGTTGTTATTGTTGAATTGAAGTCTCACTGTCTCCCAGACTGGAGTGCAGTGGCTTGCTTATGGCCACCGTAGCCTTCACCTGCTAGGCTCAAATGATCCTTCCTCCTCAGCCTTCCAAGTAGCTGGAGCTACAGGCGCACGCCACTACACCCAGCTAATTTTTTTACTTCATTGTAGAGATGAGGTCTCGTCAAGTTGCCCAGCTTGGTCTCGAACCCTGGGCTCAGGCAGTTTTTTTGTTGACAAAGGTTCTTTCAGGAAAAGTGCACGTTCAAATTGTTTTTCTAATATTCTTAAGAAGAGCTTTTCAACTTGATGCATTTGCCAGTACCACAGTGTAGTAACTGAGAGACTGATTCCAGATGTAGAATACCTGGGCTTGAACCCTGGCTCCCCCCATTTCCTTGCTGTTTGCCCCAGTTTCTCATGTTTAAATGGGGTTGATAATAGCAGATATGTTGTAGAGTCGCCATGAGTATTAAACAACTTAATACTATTAGACCTTAGAATAATATCTGACACATGTTTTCCCACCTCCTCCTCCCCACCCATCTCCACATGTTCTTATTTTGAGACTGTTTATATGTTTTTACCTTTTCCAGAGAAAATTAGAAAAGCCCTTCCTAATTCAGAAGACCTTGTAAAGTTAGCACCAGACTTTGACAAGATTGTTGAAAGCCTCAGCTTATTGAAGGACTTTTTCACCACAGGTAAGGAAGGACCTATTTGATATAATTAAAAATTTCAAGAATCACAGAGGAGAAATATGTC